TGGACTGAAATTCCTCTTTTTTTAGCTATGGAGAAGAGACTCTTGTTTCCCTATAACATATAAAGATATATTATGGGGTGGATGAATGTTTTAACTGTAGATATGAGCAGAGGCCTTTGTGCTAAAGTGAGCAGATGTTGAAATGGTTGTGATCCCATAAGTTTGAATAGAGAGGAGATGAAGATCCCTGCTGTCCTCCAGAGAAGAAGAAGAAGGACCTCTGTTTTCAAAAATTGAGAGCTTTTGTTTGAACTGTTATAATCCTTAAAGTGTACCACATAAGTTGATATGGTCCTCAATAATGATTGTGGGAAAACTGTTAGTCAAGGAAGGAATTTTTACATAGTGATCAGAATTCCATTCTCCCGGGCAGCTGATCACTGTGACATCGAGGTCAGAAGAAAACTGTTTCTCGTGGAGAAATCTCCATAGACTGAAGAGAGAAGTCTCCTCTCCCAAGTGAATTGGTGAAAGACTTTTTTTAAAAAAAGGTGGTAAACTGATTGGTTTTCTGTACATTGTCAGTGTAAAAGAAAGGAAGTGTGTGTGGAGGGGAGGAGGAGTGCTCTAAAAGTTTTATTCTGAGTTTTATTCTTTTTTCTTATAGTTTCTAGTAATAAAGTGGTTTTTTGTACCATTTAAAGCTGAGCCTGTTTTGCCTTCCTCCTAATCCTATCTCACAGCAGGGAAATTTCAAATTGGCAAACCAAAACCACTACACCAGTTCAAAGGGGGTATGTGCATCTGTATCAAACAGATTAAGTGGAATGAATATTTTCAAATATCAGCTCTATTAAGGGATCTAACATTATGAATTTTGTAACAGCAAGCAAAAGTTTAATGCCTACAGATTTCAACAAATTTAATCTAGGAAGAGGCAACTAATAATATAAATCTATTCAATATTGACAAAGTACTATCATACCCGTAAGGCCAACCTTCTTTCTGCATGTGAAACATCTGTTCTTCTTTGGTTTAGGCCGTTCAGAAGCTTTCTCTTCACTCTGTGAAGTACTAGGTTGAGAAACTGATGGGCTTGGTTGAGTAACAACTGTTAAAGGAAGCAAAAGAAATAAAGGTTATTTTCTTCCTTTTCTTGACTTCACTAGCATGTTTGTGTTTATTAACAGTAAATTCCCCTCTACTAAGACCTTGAAGTTTATTATCTGAAGTGCTAAGTAGAATAGGTATTCTATTAACTTCCCTTTTATCGCTACAGAAAATTATCAAGTTTTCCCCACTGTTCCATCATCTAGAAAATACAGCATACCTAGTGTTATCACCTGTATACACCCATATAGGTCCTGTACACACAATATTAAAAGTAATATGATCCAGTTTAAATTAATCTAAAATAATAACAACACTGTCAAAGTTGTTGAACAGAGGGGATATGTAGGCGCTGTGTCGCACCCACACAGGAGAGAGAGACACACATCTCACACCAGGTTGCATGAACAGGAAAATACAATTTTATTTACATGACGTCTATTTAAAGACATCTAACAATGATCATGGATTGTACAATGCTAAAGAAACCTCTCTGACTCCATTGATTAATTCCAATGTCCATCCATTCTTTCTTCCTCTGAAGAGGAATGCAAAACAACCCTCTGTTTATCAGAAGAGTGTGTGAGAACTGTGCAAAGGAATGTTTAAACATCAGAAGGCAAAACTCAGAGGCAACAGGGATACTTGTGGAAAATAGTCAATAGGACCATATTTTAGAAACAAATGACATTTACAGTAATGCTTTTTTGTCGTAATACCATTACTCTGCCATTATACTTGCAAAGTTAGATGACCTAAAACTTCAAACAGTACAACACCTAACATTCTTGAGCTTCAAACCACTGATTTTGTAATACACCAAGCATACTACAAGCCACACAGCTCAAAAAAGCCCTTGTTTCAGACACTTTTTTTCAGTAATTTAAAGAAAAAAGTACATATTTACATTGGATATCGGTATCCTTGTACTATATTCAACCTTAATGATCAAGCAGTTTGAGTCAAAATGGCTTATCTTTCAATTGCCTTTGTCATGAACACTTTTGGTTACATTTCTCACTTTTTACCCAAGTTCTATGCAGGATAAAAATGGGTCCTTCTGTGAACTTCTGTGGATCTGTTAGTTTTATTTGAAAAATTAAATTTTTTATCAGTTGTTTTAAAAATCCTTTAAATACCCAAATTAGCGCAGAGGAAACACAAGGGGGATGTGTTTGTATACAAACTTTAATGCATACAACCCAGAGAGTCTATCCCTGTTCAGTTTTCCTGGATACTTGTGGAAAGATAGGTTGAAAGGATAGTGCAGAAGGCAATCTTTCCCAATGAATTACAGCTGTACTGATTACTGAGGAGTGGAAACAGCCTTGCCTGCCCAATGAGGTTGGGTGTTATAAAAGACTGGGCTAGCTAGCCACAAGTTATAGTTGCAGTTTGAGGCTCAGAGTCTGCTCTACTTCAGGATGGAATCTGCTAGCTGTGCTGTGAGGTGGTAAGGGATGTGCAGTTATGCAAGGGTCAGACAAGGTAAGAAGATGTTTTGTGAGGGACATACAGGGTTAGGTGGCTGGGTAAAGGACAGGTTGGGGTTTAGCCAGTCATGCAAAAGGAGGAAGGAAACTTGCAGAGAGAAGAGGAGTCAGTGCTGTGTGGAGCTACCTGCAAGAAAAGGAGTTAGAGTTGCCTGAGAGAAAGCATGAAAAGTTTTAAGTAAAAGACTAGTGTTGGTGCCAGTCATGTCTATCTCAACATAATTGCAACAGACACTCAACTGTATGATTACATCTATTATTTAAAAAAATAATTAGCAAACTATAAAATACACTCCATAGTTAATGATTGAGAATATAGGCTTAAAGGACTCGTGTGTAACCAACTTTATGCACACAAATATGATTTCTTAGTAGAGATCCTTTTGTATCAGTAAGCATTGCATTCTGAAAGTGGATTTTTTTTCAACATCATGCACCCCTTATAGTTAACATTTTATTGTCCTTACTATTAATACCTGCTCTTATAAGATTTTATTTGTATTATGTTCATATGCCTATTACTACTAACACAAAGCCTCACAGATCCAAGCCCCATTTCACTATTCACTGTAGAAGTGAACAATGAGAGCCTCCAGTCAGTTCATATTTCAGATTGTAAACAAGATTCAGTAGCAACAAACTTTTAGAGGCAACAAGGAACTTTCAGTGCTCATACCCAAAAAGTTTTATACAGGAAATCAGTATTTCCTTATACAATATTACACCTGTAAGTCCTAGGGAACAACTCAAGCTCTTTACTGACTTTATTTTTAAATATTCTATAGATTCTTCTAGAAAGTATGAAGAGTTCAGCATCAACACTATTTTGCTAATTCTGAGGACAACAATACTATCCAGTCTTGGATATATAATGTTTTTTCCATACTTAAGCATGCTATTAACAAAAAGCAAAGTTATGGCACTACAATCATAACTGCTACTAATACTTTTCAGAGTAATTTTAACAGCTGCTTTTTCTTTTTAAATTAAACAATTCCTTCGTCTTGACAATTAATATATTCAAAATGATCAGATATAACCTTTTGAACTTGTCTTTAAACCCCAAGGAAAGTAGTGTTCAGTATCAGATAATCTAGTTGAAAGCCTATGACAAAAAAAAAAATCAGGTTAAAAACACTGATTCCACAGTGTAAACCTGATGGATACCACACACCTTAGCTGACAGGGATTAAGAAATTGACTAAACATCTCCCAAATCAAGCAGCATGGTCAAGCTCCATTTTGATTTGTTCTATTACCAGTCTGTTTAAAATGAAATGCTGGTTATAAGCTATGGCAGATGGAAAAAGGGAACCTTCCAGTTCTCTGGTGGAGTGAGTGAGCAGCTGTGTGTGCTTAGCTGCCTACCACAACAGACCTTTTTGGCACCCAACAAAGGGCTTGAAGGGTTTGAGATAACAGACTTGACTGGGATGTGCTAGGTCAAATTTATAGCTGTTAGTGCTGTTTAACTAGTAATCGGCAGGCTCCTGGGCTTGCTTGCCTGACTGCAAATTAAACTCTAGTGCTCATTAGTGGCTGCTTTTTGCTTTTACCACTTATCTTCTTACTCTGCTGTGCCTGGGAACATCTTGATAACAGCAATGACCGTGCATGCACGTGGCCTGGCAAATGGTCAGTGCGCTGCTGTGCTGGACAGGCTGGAACTGTGTGAACTCAAGTTAAAGGGACTGTGATCTGTGGATGAGTCCCCATGGGAACAGGACACCCTGAAGCATCTGTGGCCATGGTTACATCTGTGCCAGAGCAGGTACACCTCTAAAGGGATTGTGGCTCAAGAAGTCCACACCAGAGAAGGTCTATCTTGAAGCATCTGTGGCTGTGGATAAGTCTGTAACATAGCAGGTACACTCCTCAAAGGACTGTTGCTGTGGGTAAAGCCACACTGGAGCAAGTACATCTCTGAAAGGACTGTGACCTATGAAAAAGGCCATGCTGGAACAGGTGCACCTCAAAGCAACTGTGGCTATGGATAAGTCTGTGCAGCAGAAGGTATACCCTAAAGATTTTGGCTTGTAGATAATGCTCCACTTGGAGCAGGCACACTCCTAAGGGACTGCAGTCCATGAATAAATCCAAGTCGGACTAGGGGCAAGGGGAGGAGTTCATTGCAATGTTAAACCTTATGGCCTGGTACAAAGGGATCAAGGGTAGAGATTGTAATGGATATGCCTTTAAACTGTTGTAATCTGGTATTGGAGTTACATGTTATAGGATGTACTTATGGCAGGAACCACATGAACCAATGGAGGACAAACCTCACAAGAAGCAGTGCAAGTGCAGCAGTGACCAGATTTGAGCTTACTGATCCATCAAGACAAAGAGTGTATTAGATAATTTTGTGTCACAAAACAAAGATTAAAAACAAATCCATCTAAGGGAAAATGTAACCAACTACTACAAATATACTTACTTCCTCCTCTACATAAATATTCTGCCCCTGAGATTAGCTTAGTTGGTTAGAGCATGGTGCTAGTAACACCAAGGTGACAGGTTTGATCCCTGTGTGGGCCATTCACTTAAGAGCTGGACTTGAAATCCTTGTGGGTCCCTTCCAACTCATAATATTCTGTGAACTCTGTGAAACTGACAGGTGTTCACTACCACAACCAGCAACCTGGGAACTAGGAAGCAATGATGATAATCCAAAGTGCAAAGGCCCATTTCTGAAAAGGGCTGCCAAACAGGTTCCTTCCTCCACAACTAAAACATATTCCAAAACCAAAAAGCAGGTAACATGCAGAAATGGGCAACTAAAAGGTCCCAACACAAGGAGATTTCACAGGTTGCCCTAAATCAGAATTGTTTAACTTATTACTCGACACAGATAACACCTGCAAAAAGTAGGCATCCACCCACTTTTATGCCAGCAGTTAGCTCTAGTAATGGGTTTTAATAATGAAGTCCTTAAAGTAGCTTGGTGTAACAGCTAGAACCCTTTAACTAAAGCTTACACATAAAAAGCAACCCCCCATTTTTTCATCAAACTGTATCTGAAATGAAATATTTTTTAGTTCTTCTGACATGATGTTAGTACCCACATTCATCAGATACTATCCTGACTTGAAATCCTGCTTGTCACAAAAAGCTCCATCTAGTATGCATTAAACAAATTTTATGCCAGAAATCATACCGTGTTAATCATCAGGCAAAGTACTCAAAGTGATTGTCATGGAATAAATCACTAGACAAAAACCAAAACTATGGTAGGAAAATGGTTGTTACTGTCACCTGCAGACCCGCCTCCTCAGTACCAATAACCTTAGTCATATAAGCAAAGCATTTTTGTTCACCAGAACATGTTTTAATGGCTTAACAGAGGTCCTGTTGGCATGTAGCTCTCTTCACCACCATGGTTATTTCTCTTGCTAAGCACCAGCTCAGGTTACCAGATGAGGTTTGTTTCACTTCAATTTTAGGAGACCAGATGATCTGCTACAAGGTTGAAGAACTTGGGAGAAAAAGTTGTTTCCAGAAATTGACATGATTTTTAAATTTTATTAAGTAATACAACAATAAGTTAACCACAGGCAGTGTAAAAGGCAGTGCCATCAAGAATAACAAAACAGGCATAGGGGATGCCATTCAGAAGGACCAGGACAAGCTTAAGAAGTAGGCCCATGTGAATCTCCTGAGGTTCAACAAGGCAAAGTGCAGTCCTGCATTTGGGTTAGGACAACCCCCAATATCAGTACAGGCTGGGGGATGCAGGGATTGAGATCATCCCTGTATAAGAGGACTTAGGGGTACTGGTGGATGAAAACCTGGATGGCAAAGGCAGGGACTGGGAGAATAAATAAGCACCCACTGTAGAAGATCAGCTTTGAAAGCATCTAAGGAACCTGCAGGTGCACAAGTCCATGGAACCTGATGAGATGCATCTGCAGGTCTTGAGAGAACTAGTGGATGAAGTGGCTAAGTCACTATCCATCATGTTGAGAAGTCATGGCAGTCCAGTGACATTCCCATTGACTGGAAAAGGGGCAACATAACCCCCATTTTTATAAACAGAAATAAGGAATACCCAGGAAACTACAGGCCAGTCAGTCACATCAGTGCCTGGCAAAATCACAGAGCAGGTCCTCCTGGAGACTATGTAAGGTAGATGGGAAATAAGGAGGGGATTGGTGACAACCAACATGGCTTCACTAAGGGCAAATTATGGAGGTCTTTATGAAAGGGTTACAGGATTGACAAATATGAGAAGAGTGACAAAAAAAATCTACCTGGGCTCATGCAAAGCATTTGGTATTGCCCCACACAACATCCTTGTCCCTAAAGTGGAGAGATGCAGAGTTGACAGATGGATCACTTGGTAGATAGGACATTGGCTGGATGGTGGCACTCAAAGAGTTGTGGTCAACAGCTCAATGTCCAAGCAGAGACCAGTGCACACTGGCATGGACCTGTTCATACAAGTCCAGAGAAGGGCCACTGAAAGGCTTCAGGAGGGAGAGCTGGAGCACTTCTCCCATGAAGACACGCTGAAAGAGTTGGGGCTGTTTAGCCTGGAGAAGAGAAGGCTCAGGGAAGACCTTAAAGCAGACTTCCAGTACCTAGAGGGCCTACAGGTAGGCTGAAGCAGGACTTTTTACAAGGGCATGTAGTGATATGACAAGGGGGAATGGCTTTAAACTGAAAGAGGGTAGGTTTAGATTAGATATTAGGAAGAAATTCTTTACTGTGAGGCTCGGGAGGCCCCATCCCTGAAAGTGTCCAAGGCAAGGTTGAATGGGGCTTTGAACAACCTGGCATAGTGGAAGGATCCCTGCCCATGGCAGGGGTGTTGGAACTAGACTATCCTTAAGGTCCCTTTCAACCCAAACAATTCTACCATTCTATTATCATAAATCTGCTAGGATAAGGAACCAACCTAATCCTAGTACAAAAAGTGCCTGAAAAATAAAAAGACAAACAAAACTCCCACAAATACAACTGTTGCACTGTATATTTGGGAACATTTACTTCATTCAGTCGAAAAGTAAGATGCATTTTCAAAGCAGACTGTCTCGGTTTGAAAGACAGGTATCTGCTAAGAAAAGGCAAGAGCCCCTTCCCTGAGATGGAGAGTGCAACTCCCTTCCAATTATTATAATTTTAGAATCAGGGGCTTTCAGGCAAAAGATATGGGGATACGAATAACAGTTCTTTACTAATATATCTAACAAGGCAAACAAAAGAAATAACAACAGCTATAAAAATTGACAACAAAACAGAACACTATAACTCAGTTCCAGTCCTTTGTGGCCGCAGACTCCCTCTCCCTGCGCTCAGTTACCGGTGCTGTGGGCAGGGCAGGTCCTGTGTAGCTGAACAGCGCTGGAGTGATGGCGGCGGCGGCCCAGGTGTGAGAGGGATGGAGGAGCGACTCCCCCCATCACGGTGTCGGTCGTGGTGCTCGGCCGAGTGCCCGGAGGTAGTAGGATGAAGCGGGAAGGCAGCAGTGCGATGTCTGACAGCAGGGAACATGGCTCCCAGCGTTGGGATTGCGGGAAGGGTGGTAGGTAGAAGCACTGGCCGTCTTTTTTCGACTCCACGGGCGAGCGAGAGAGCCAGAGTGCAGGCAGCTGTCCCCCACTTTCCTTTCCGATGTTCCCCCTCTCCCCACCCCCTTCGAGAGAAACCTTACTAGCTAGGGTGTAGCCACAAATACTTAGCATAACAATGGGGAAAATTCCACAGAAAGAAAAAGGGAAAAAATTCAACCCCCAACACAGACAAAGGGAGAACAGCAAGGTTACTTATGATTAGAAGTAAAGCACAAGCCGCAGCATGACAGCTGTTCAACCTACACAAAGAAAGGTCCTGCAAATAGGAAGACTAATGCTACTCTGACCCCAAAGTATTAAACTCATGGTGACTCTGAGACTTCTGAAGAAGCAATAACCACTGTACTAACAGGCTCAAGAACAATGCATCCCAATGAGCAAGGAATCAGGCAAAGGGGACAAGAAACCTGCATGGATGACTAAAATACTGTCATTACTCAAACACAAGTAGGAAACACACAGGAGGTGGAAGCAGGGTCAAGCCACTTGGAATTAATATAGAGAGGTTGTCAGAGTAAGTAGAAATGAGATAAGACCAAGGTCCATCAAGAATTAAACCTGGCCAAAGATGTCAAGGATAAGAAGAATGACTTCTTCAAATACATCAATGATAAAAGGAAAACTAAGGATAATATGGGACCATTTCTAAATGGAGGGGGGACCCTAGTGATAGAGGACGCAGAGAAGGCAGTTACTGAATACCTTCTTTGCATCAGTCTGCATTGACAAAACCAGTGCTCAGGGATCTCTGACCCAGGAGACTAAGGTAAAGGTATGTTAGAAGGAAGACTTTCCCTTGGTCAAGGAGGATTTGGTCCATGAGCCAGAAGTGCCCTTGAGGCCAAGAAGGCCAACAGAATCCTGGGATGCATTAGGAAGAGCATTGCCAGCAGGTTGAGGGAGATGATCCTGCCCCTCTACTTAGTCCTGGTGAGGCCACATCTGGAGTACTGTGTCTAATTCTGGGCTCCTCTGTTATGAGGAAAGACTGAGGGAGCTGGGCCTGTTTGGCCTCGAGAAGGAATGACTGAGAGGGGACCTCATCATTGTCTCTAAGTATCTGAAGGAAGGGTGTCAAGAGGATGGAGCCAGGCTCTTCTTGGTGGTGCCAACCAATAGGAAAAGAGGCAATGGGCAGAAACTGGAACACAGGAAGATCCACCTGTACATGAGGAAGAACTTCTTTACTGTGCAGGTGACTGAGCACAGGGATAGATTGCCCAGAGAGGTTGTAGAGTCTCCCTCGCTGGAGATATTCAGGAACTGCCTGGACACAGTCCTGTGCCATGTGCTCTAGGATGACCCCGCTTGAGGAGGGAGGTCAGACCCAATGGCCCACTGGTCCCTTCCAACCTGACCGATTCTGTGGTTCTGTAACTAGACTGTCAGAACTGACAGTGGTTTTCCTTACACAAACCAATACAGCTGGAGCAGTTCATAAAGGACTGTATCCTGTGCAAGGGACTCATGCTGGAGCAGGTAAAATGTGCAAGAAGGAAGGAATGGCAGAGAATAGTTATGAACTGACTGCAACCCTCCATTCCTCCTGCATTACTCAGAATATAGGGAGAGAAGGTAGAAGAATCTGGAAGTAAAGATGGGTCTAGGAAAAAAGGGGTGAAGGGAAGGCATTTTTAGTTTTCTTTGTTTCTTACTATCATTATCTGTTTTTTAAATGAGCAATAAATTAAATTAATCCAGAAAAGACTACTAAAGTAACAGCAAGGTTTTAGAAGCTTCCTATATACTCAAAAAATTAGCCAAAATAGAACCCTATCAGTTTAAAAAAATGCATTGACTTCGGCAGTAATAGGAAGCAGTAAGCATGCCAGTGAAGAGTGAAATGCCTGAGACCATTAAAAAAACCAAAAGTTTTAAGCATTCTAACTACTTTTACATGAAGATAAACCCCAACTCCTACCACAGAAGGGCCGGAAAAAATAAAACAGAAGAAAAGATAAAGG